AGCTTGGCTGTAACGTACCGACCTCGTTTTGAGCTTTTGCACTTTGCTCGTCAGTTCTCGGGCATGACTAGCCCCGTGTGATGTATTATGACTTATGTAAATCGTCGGTTTTGGTTTCCAGGGTAATCGGAATGAATTTGGAAGAGCAGTTCTCAGTCTGAAGCTTAAAATTTGAAAGGTTTGACCAAGTTTTGACTTGTTAGTATATGATCTCGGATTGGAATTTTATAATTTGGTTAGCTCCGTTAGATGATTTGGGACTTAGGAGCGTGATCGAAATGTATTTTGGAGGTCCGTGGAAGGTTTAGGCTTGAATTGACGAAATTAAAAATTTGCCATTTTCCGGTTGGTAGTGAAAATTTTGATATCGGGGTCGGAATGGAATTCCGGAAATTGGAGTAGGTCCGATGTGTCATTTGTGATGTGTGTGCAAAATTTCAGGTCATTCGGACGAAGTTTGATAGACTTTTTGATCGAATTTGGAATTTGGAAGTTTTGAAATTCATAGGCTTGAATCCGATGATGATTTGATGTTTTGATGTTCCCGAGGGCCTCGGGGTGATTTCGGATGATTGACGGAAAGTTTGGAGTTGAGTTTGGAAGCTGAAGCACTTTTGTTGCTGTCATAAGCGCACCTGCGGTTGGGAGGCCGCAGGTGCGATGCCCGCAGAAGCGGAAGGCAGCCGCAGATGCGGCCAAGAAGAAGATCAGCTGGAACCACAAAAGCGGCTAAGGAAGCGCACCTGCGGTAGCGCAGGTGTGAGAATGTGATCGCAGATGCGGAACTTGGAGTATAAGTGAAAACCGCAAATGCGGTGTCTTGGACCGCAGAAGCGGTAATGGGACCACAGGTGCGAAAAGCCTGGGTCAGAAAGTATAAAAGGTTTTCCTTCGCGATTTCTGAGTTATTCTTCACCATTTTCATGCGGGTTTGAGCTTGATGGAGCTATTTGAAGAGGGATTTCATAGAGGTAAGGTTTTTGGACCCTAAACTCGTTTCTATGGTGTTATTTCACTGATTTGGCTTGAAAATTAATGAAAATTAAGGGTTAAAATTTGGGAAACTAGGGCTTGAGATTGGAGACCTTTGAGCAAGGGTTTGAGGGGTCATTTGTGATCGGATTTTAATACTTTTGATATGTATGAACTCGTGGGAGATAAGAAATGTATTGATGTAAATTTTATCGAATTCCGAGGCATGGGCCTGGGGGTCGGGTTGGACCAATTTCGGGATTTTTGGTATAATTTGATTATTTTCGCATGAGCTTCGTTCCCTTAGCATATTCTAATGTTATGATTCTGATTTTGGGTAGATTCGACACGAGTTGAGACCGAGGTGAGAGGCAAAGGCGTCACGGAGTAGTATTTCATCCGGTTTGAGGTAAGTAACCGTTGTAAATCTAGAACTGAGGGTATGAAACCTCGATATTCGTATTGTTTTGGTAACTGAGGTGACGCACATGCTAGGTGACGAGCGTGTGGGCGTGCACCGGTAGGGATTGTGACTTGGTCCGTCCCGTAGCGACTATTAAACCGCGTATTTGATTTAAAATCTTATGATATCACGTGCTTTAGAGATTGATACGATATTATGGGTTGTATGCCATGTTTGGGGCCTTGTGCCAACCTGTTGAGACCCTTAGGGGCATTTTTACTGTGTTCCTCACTCTATTTATTTGAAAGCATATCCTCAGTCATGTTTTACCTGCTATTGCTTAAGCTTGATTTCACTACTCGTTTTCTTAACTATGAAAACTTTTTGGGCTGAGTTCCCTGATTTTCACTGAGATGCCCGAGTGGCCGTGAGGATAGTGATTGAGAGAGGTTGAGGACCTTATGGTGAGGATTATATATATTATGGGTCGGTCTGCACGCCGCAGCGATATTATATATTGATATGGATCGGGCTGCACGCCGCAGCTATATATATATATGGATCGGGCTGCACGCCGCAGCAGTATTTATATGGATCGGGCTGCATGT